TTAGTATATATTGTTCTAAACACAAATAAGGAAATACCGTAAATCAAAAAAAGGTTTAACTGTTATTTAGTTTGGTTCAAAACCTACAAAATCTTCATTTCTTTCACTGTAATTTATTTTTTATTATTATATATATATTATTATATATATATATATTATTATATTATATATATATACATATATATTATTCATACCTTCAGTGTATAGGATGCAAGCAGATTTTGACATCAAATTTTCGGGGAAAAAGGTGCGTCTTATACACCGAAAAGTATAATATTCACTTTTTTTTGGCATCATCACTATCTTCCATTAAGGCCAAAACATTATCATCAATAAAATCCACATATTTTTCATCATTGATTTTCACAATATTCTAGTTGTAATTCAGCCATGGTCATCAATACTTGCCAATACACTTTTTAGCTGCTTTCCCTCATGTCTGACTCAGTTTAGCACAGATTGATAATCCATCACATTCATACTCACACCAAGAACCTGCTAAGCATTTTGAATATCTAAGCCTTTTACATTTGCAAAATACAGGTTCCATTTGGAACTAGAATCACAATTTTTTTGAGTCATTGAAGCAATTATTTGATTAATTTATTTGGAACATCCAACAGCCCATTGAAACTAAAAGTAAGTTAAATCATCATCTTTTTTTGGCCAATGATAATGCTTTAAAAAAAACTTTTTCAATGGGTCATTGTTTCTGAGTAACATGAGCTTACCCAATTTGGAGATGCAGGCAGTGTTAAAATTCATTGCATTACTTTTTTTGCACATGTATGGTAAGATAAATTATTAATTTCATCATTTTAGTATTATTCGACCTCATTTAAATAACAAAATCCTTTTTTGGTAAACTTGTTCATTTGAGTTTCAGTACTTCTACAGGCATTGCACTGTATCTATTCTATAAGCTGTACATGTATTACACAAACCTAATGCTACAAAGTGACAATTTGCTTGAAACTGTATAAATAGCACACACAGAGTAACTTGTATATATATATATACAGTACTAGATGTTTGCAACATTAACCACAAAGATATACTAAACTAACTGAGATACACCTTGTGATTTGTTTGCTCATGGCATTGTACTTTGTCTCCTCTGCCGATAATTCTTCTAATTTTATCTTATTTGTTTAACTCAATAACACAAGAATAGTAGAAGGGCTGAAATAGTAGAAGTAAAAGTATAAAGCCCTGCTAAAATGACAGAAATTACATTTCATACAATTCAAACTGTAATTTTTATTAGAAGTATAATTATTTTATACAGCTGCCAGTGGTAGCTAGGAACAATGTTTTTTAACTGATGGGCAATTTTTTTTTCTAATTCTCTATAAACTACAGTACAGTAGAAACAAATACCATGTATACAACTGCTGTTCAAAATTTCAAGAAGTCCTAACAATAACTCTCTAGTTTTGATAAACTCGTAAAATGAAGAAATACTTACACTCTTCAGGGGTGGGTGTGGATGTAGGAGTTACTGTTGAAGTTGGCTCATCTGTTGTCACATAATCAGTTGTAGCATTTATATTTTCACTAGCACAATGTAAAGCTGATATTAAAACAGCTAGACTGACCAAAACTGCACAATTTTTCATTCTCCTTTTCTTTTTTGAGACTCTGATATTTACTGCAAATGAATATATGAGTACCAGATAAACATTTATTCACGAGTATACTTGCCAGGTACTAATTTAGATACACAGACACACAAGTTTATGAAATTAACTGCAAATTCCAACTACACATAATAAACTGTCTTGGAGTGGGTTTTAATAATAAATAACCCAATTTCAAAATTTTGTTTAAAATTTCAACTCAGTTCTGTTTTTTGCTTGATTAAGCTATCAATTAAACATTGATTTTCTGACCATTCCAATTTTCTCTTTATACATACACAGTTGAATACTTCTGGGCTTTCTTCATGGTTATAAGCACAAAAAGCTTATACATTAATAACATTATAGGTTTATATAGTCACCTAAGACAAGATAAATTATTATATAATATGAATTATTTCAATTAAATTTATTGAGTAAATGTAAAAAGTAGCTCTTGTACCTTAGTAAGGCATGTCTAGCGATAATTAAAATACAACATTTGACACTTAACAATAGTATCTGTGTATGTGGAATAATACTAATCACACTCTAAACGAATGCATTACTTAAGGTTTGTACAGTACACCTTTTGCATGTATATATTATTAATATCAAAATAAATACTTGCAGATCCCATAAAGTGGGTGGTTATTGAAACTACAATGCTTGTTTCACATTCACACGTATGTATAGAGTCGAGTTATATCCAAATTAACTTCATTCTTTAGAAAAAACAACTAGTAGGTAGAGTAAAATAAGTGATAGATGTTTCAACAATTGAATCAAAAATAAAATACAATGTGCAAGCTACAAAATAGTACGTACATACACATTTTTATTTCCCTTGATATATTTAAATTACTACAATTTCATGAAGTTAACTCTCAAATGATCACTAAAGTAATCTTTATGTAACTAATAGTTGATACAATAAATTCCTAAGAGTCCTAAATGTTGAGGATGTCAAGGTAATACAGAATAACTTGGGTAAATTGATATATTGGACATGTATTGGAAAATGACCTTTAATTATAGTAACTGCATAGTAATACATTTGGGTAATAATAATTTGGACTTTTTTTTTCCCATAAAGATGAGAAATCACTCAATAGCATGTTTGGTTGTTGTTAAGCACAAAGCTACACAATGAGCTATCTGCTGTGCCCAACATGCATATTCAAACCCAATTTTTAATGGTGTGAGGCATGAGAATTACTGCTAAGCCATTGGGGGGCAGCATGAATGAATGTAGAAAAAAAAAAAGGATTTTTGGCACAGTGATGGACAAGTCACTCAAGCCATTAAAGTAGTTCTCTGTTTCTAGTAGAAATCAACAGAATTTTATGGTGTATTTATACAGTTTATATGTCAAAAATGTATCTCTATCACTAGTTATGCCTAATTATTTCTCTCTACAACTTACAAGTCACTAGTTAGGCCTCACTTAGAATACTGTATACAGTTTTGGTCTTCTTAACCAAGAAAGAATACCAACTTACTAGAATTTAGAAAGAGTTCTGAGGAAGAATGCTAGGAATAGGATGATTCTAGGGATGGAAGAATTAACTTACCAAGATAGGTTAGGATCACTTTATTTACCACTTGAGACAAGAGTAAGGGGTGATCTTATTAAAGTTTATATGAAGAGTATGTGGGATATCAATAGGATAAAACTGGGTGATAAGTGAAATTTGGTAATCGACTGATCATCGAGCCTTGAGATCATTAATAGATTACATTCAATTAACCTATACTCACACATAAGACTTGGAGTTGTATAGTTGGAATAATAAAAAACATTAATGATTAAACATTGATTTAGATTAATTCATTATTTTTGCGAGTTGTGACACTAATCAACCAATAAGAATAACCTTGAATTAACTGAAAATAATAAAGCAAAATCACATATAATATTAATGCCGTAGCAATATTTAATTTTAAAAATTTCAGTAACTTGGATTGTTTGAATAATCAAAATTATGATAAAACCAATTATGTCATGAAAATAATCAAAATTATTTTTTTTCTGCTATTTTATAACTTAAGGCAACAATCCAACATAATCGTAGGCTTACTTTGTTTCAAATTTGGATTATATCCCAAACTCTCATAGACTCATAGTCATACTGTAAAAGTGTAAGTTGTAACTGAGTCATAGACATAGCAGTCTTAATTTTATTAAGTCTTAAGGTTATTCGTAGTAATTCAATAATATAATTTGCAATTTGTAAAAAACAAAATACAATTTTTTTCAAACAAGTTTAACTTAACCAAGTCTTAAGTTGAAAATTAAAGTAAACTTTAATTAAAAGTAAACGTTTTAACTTAATACAAGTTAAACTCCGTGACATACGACTACGTTAAAATTTAAATGATTAATTTACTTTTAAAATAAAATTCACTATCGCTGGCAGGCACTCATACTTAAAAATCTGAAGTTTTGTTATATAATTTTGCTATATTAAATAAATTTCACACAACTGCAGCCTTTTCTTACTTTTTCAACTTCTATATCATGCACTTTCGAAATAGTTAGTAAATACTTCCTGTCCCTCCCCACTATTTATATAACTCCAACGATTTGGCCACCTGGTTGATATAGATTTCAAAATATTAAAAAAAAAGGAAAGATTTTGAGTTACTTATACACTACTGAAATGAAACATTTTGGGGTTAGTTCAAATTTAAATTTCAGAGAACTCATTTTAATCTTTATTTCACGAGAAAGGATAACTCAACAATTAATTAATATTATACATATCATGCTTTTATATTTACCTATTTTACCATAATTTCTACACTAGCCGAACTAAGGCTTTACGAAAATGTCAAACCACATAATAAAATGAAATTTACTTTCGGTATATGTTTTAAAGAAGTCGTGGCATTCAGCATTCCATGGCAATTTTAAACAATTCATTAAACACTGTATATACATGTGTGTGTTTGTTTGTGTATTGTTCAAAGCAACATTTTTAATATAATAATTTAAATGTCTGCTGGAGAAAACTATTGCTTTATGCATAGAAATTTTGATAAGATAGGCCTATAACTCTAGAAAATTATTAGGATGTGACATAAAATGCGCTAGCACGAACGAACAAACTAACTTGGCAGGTATTTTGGTTTCAGATCTTTCGGGTCTCTTTGAGACCTGAAATATAACCAGGAGCCCTCAGAAACTGTTGTTTACCTTCGCCCCGCTCACGTATTTAGGTTCTAGCACATTCGAAATTAGGTTAACAGTACGAAATAGTTGTGAAGTTATTTTCAAGATAGATAGTTGAATTAGCAAGTTTATTTGTGTTACGTTAATTAGATCTAAAGAAAACTTACGGCAATCTGCAAGCATCCAAGTTGTATAAAAGTTAAAAGCGAAAATAAAGTAACTTGTTTTTGTTATGAAGCGAACGTTGAATTATTTTCACCAGGTAATTTAAAAGAACCCACCAGCAAAAGAACAAAATTATTACAAATTATGAAATCCACAAGGTTTTGTTTGAATTTTCAAGGTATTTGTGCTCAGAATGTCTCATCATTCAATTCACTTCATTATATACAGTCTGGAATCAATGTAAACATATTCTATTTAAAGACATAGTTACAATATTTGTTCAAAATGGCCATCGCCAAGTTCAAAACATGTTTGCAAACGACACAGCATGATTGAGATAATGGATTTCTTTCCGGATGTTTGTTATTGAACTCTGCAGATATTTCTCTCTGTGTCCATCCTTGACGTCCACACAACAGGATAATTTCAACGCACTCTTGTAACGACATGATTATTACGTATGAGCAATATAAACCTGCAACAAAAAGAATAAAACAGAACATTAATAACAAATGTTTCAAATAAAATAAATTTACATTGATTCCAGACTTTATGGATACCCTGTATATAAGAAATTAGTATAAATAAATTATATAGATAGACATATAATGTTTTGATAAATAATGTTCATTGTTTGTTTGTAATTAAGCACAAAGCTACACAATAGGCTATCTGTTCTCTGCCCACCACAGGTATCGAAACCCGGATTCTAGCGTTGTAAGTCAGCAGACATACCGCTGTGCCACTGGGGGGTAATAATGTTCATACACACACGCACATACATAAATAATAATAAACATATATAAACACAGCAAGACCCTCAATTCTGTTTACAATATATGTAATACACGTGCAAGTAATATATGATTTAATCTTATTTCTAATATAATATATATTATAGTTTTAGATATTTGTTACGTCTCCGTTTGTTAATTGATTTTTCCGTAACTTTGTTTCGACGAAATTTTAACGACACAAGTCTTTACTTAATAAAACTGGTTTATTCTTTCCGAATATAACTTTACCGATACACTCAATTTCAACAATCGCGCTAAAACAACGCTATATCAACAAACGTCAATAATACTTCTGACTGCAGATCAATTACACACTGTCTATACACACATTACCTTACCTTACCGCGTCACGTTTTCCCCTCTTATATATACCAGACTACCCTACTAGTAAATACTAGAGCATTCGCCAAAGTACATGATAATTCTAGAAACGTTGCGTCACTGTAGTCATGTGACTCGCTGACGCAACACTGCCCTCTCCTTAATATTGTTCGTCCCGAACAATAACCACATATAATAAACCAATAACAATTAACAATAACTTAATTAACTGTACAGAATTACAAACACAAAATTACAATTCGACAAAGTCTCTTAATTTTACGGGACGTATCTTCTTCCGTACTGGTCTCCGTCTTGTTGGCTTCTGTTTCATGTGGAGTTCATCTACTTCATCAGTAAATGTCCCATCATCGGTAACAGTCACATCAGTGGTAGTAACTTCACCAAGAGCTTCACCGTTTCCTTCCTCG